AAAATCGGGCGAGTCACGAAGCAATTACCTTTACGAGTACAAGTAAACACGGACTCGAAGAAGAAGATGATTAAGAACAGACCGACCAGTGTCGAACATCCAGGAGTCATGCTTATAACATGGCGAATAAACCGATCACATGGTAGGCACTCCAAACTAAAATACCAAGAACAGACAGCATTTGTAAGATAATAGTAAATAAAGCCAAAACCTGGTGTAAAAAACCTTATACACAAAAGTAATCCCTGTCAGGTATTCAAAACGAAATTATCAAGTTTATGAAATTTCTGCCTCATTTGAGCAAACGATAGCTCAGTTGGCTCTTTGTTAGTAGGGAGACTATTTCCCTCAACCAGCTTTGGTTGGCTATAATTAATATAGCTTACATTCGATATTTCGGTTGACTATTGTACAAAAGAATAAAAGACGAGGCTCAGAGATTATTCTTTTGTTTCCAGGAGCCTCGTTTTCAATGATTTTGTGTGTATGACTATTCAACCAGAATATTGAAAATGGACTATCAAGCAATTAAATTACCTGTTTCCACTGGGTCGTGGATTTAGTTGTTGAATGATCGCTATGATAATACCACTGGACACTTTGTCTGTAAAACCGATTGTACCATACACAAACGCTCCTGATGTCTGGTGAGAAAACAACGGAAAAACCGCAATATAGTTTTAAATACTACTGAATATTGTATTTAGAAACAATAAATAAAATAGAATAACAAATAAAATAGAAATAAAATAGAAAAATAAATAAATAAAATTAAATAAATAAATAATAAATAAATAATTAAATTGAAATAAATAAATAAAATCAAAATTAAATTAAATAATTAATTAATATAAATTAATAATTAAATAAATGAATAATGAATAAAATAGAATAACATGTTATAATATAATTGTACAATCAGATCAGTGTCCGATTGACTTTTTGACTCTTGACGATCTTCTTACTCACTCTCGAACCCAGAAGCTTCACGGCTAATGTCCCACGCATTGACATCCGCTGGATGGCAAAAGTGCGGGCTCTGGGTACGAGATTGCTTCTTACGGGACGCCATATTTATTGTCCAGGACATATTATTGCCTGGACAGCTTATTGGTATCTGGAAATATGTTTATAATAAAGGAAGTGTATAGAAATCAACTATCTTCTTACAGTCTCGTCATGTAATGCTTCACGTTACCTTGTGTTCGCCAATAAGTTCTGCTATCATTGACAGTGACGTAGCAAGCATAATCGAGCTACCGCAGCCTATAAGTACTGCCGTCGCATAAACAGCATTTCGGCCTTCGATTGATTGGAGATAAAACCAGAAGCACGAAGCGAGCGCGATAGAACCTCCAATAGAATATGTAATCTGAAATGAAAAGTGTTTTGTCTCGTACAAGAAATATTTGAGAAATATTTTGTTGAAACTGTGTAATGGCTACATTTGTAAGGTCGCCGTTTTGCGGCTGTCTAGTGGTGAAACGCGTTCATTCAAGGGCTAATATCCAAGCGTTTCCTCCTTCTATAACATCGCCATCAGATAAAGTGTGGTGGGGAATGAAATCTCCCGTCTTAATGTAAATCCATGCGACGATTCAGCGCTTTATCGTGTAGATTGACGGTCTTTTTCAACAAAATAGACATTTTATTCAAGGGTTGGAATCCAAGTCGCTGCTATGCACCTTATTCTTAAGATTTCTTTCCTTCTTTTATTTTATTCTCTCACTTTCAAGTTCATAAATAGATTATAAAACGTAGCTCTATTTGCGCTATATCTTAATGCAACGGAAATTGTCTACTTACTTTGTTGCCAAGACGTTTGTTCATGGGCTTTACAGCAGAACTAGACAATACTCCACTTACTAAAATGATCAATGGGAAATATGCTATAGATTCCTGTAAAAAAAGGCCAAATTATGTCTTAAAAAGTATCAAAATGGTAAGTTGGCTTAGACTTTTAGTTTAGATTACAATATACACAAAGAATAACATGGTTTGGTTAGTACGTGTTTTTAAGCAATTGAGTYCTAGGGAATGGAGGGGGACGAGTCTTAAAAGATATTGTCAAATGTGATAAATGTATGAAGGAAATGTACGAACTTTCAAGAGCATTTTATTACATTGACCCCTTAAAGATTGACCTTTATTACAAGTTCTCGCTACGCCTCTGCAGAGGAGTAAATATTTTCAGAACGTRACTAGAAGCATATCAACGAATGGACTATTTTTTCTGTAATAATCGCAAAGGTGTTTGCCCTGTATATAGTCACTGATTGTTAGCTATTGTCCCGGCTTTTTAAGTGACTTTAGGAGGAGCCGACGGGTTTCTGGGAGAAATACATCTGTTCTTATGTCCCAGCCAGCTGTAAGTCACAAACTGGTTGCCAGTGAGAAATTCAGGGAAAAAGAACTCTCCAGGCAAGGAATACTTTCTAAGAATTTTTACAAGGAAAATAAAAATTTCCTAACTAAAAAAAATAAGCCGTTTTTTGACCATAAAAACTTTACTTAAGCCTTGTTTCACCTTAAAAGCGTTTGCTAGGAACAAAATTATTTTAAAAAAGAAAGGGCGCCACATTTGATTGTGAGATTGTCAACAATGTAGCTCACAAAATCCCTTTCCCAGAAAAAAAATCGTACAAAAACAGTTTTTAGAAGAATAGACCCCGATGGCTCTTCCTTCATGACTTCAAGTCAAAGTGCAATCCTCACCTATACAACATCAATATACATCAATAAAATTGTTTCCTACTCATTGGCGTAGTGTCTACCTTTTCAAATTTGAGAGTCTCTATTAGGTATAGCGGAAGATAGGCTTGCGAGATATTAACAACAAGGCGGCTACACGTGTACAGCATATTGGTCTATAAGGATTGAGAAATAATAAACAATTAAAGTGTTGCATGGTATATTTGTTTTTTTTATATTTAGGATTGGTCCAGGTCTTGTGAATAATTAGGTTGGATCTATATTTTGGTTGGTTGGTTGGTTGGTTGGTTGGTTGGTTGGTTGGTTGGTTGGTTGGTTGGTTGGTTGGTTGGTTGGTTGGTTGGTTGGTTGGTTGGTTGGTTGGTTGGTTGGTTGG